GTCACTTTCGCCGCGCGCTGAGTGACAAGCGCGGCCGCCGGCGGGTCCTAGCACCCCCCGCGCCCCTCAGCCCTCCCCGTTAACCCCTTCCCTGCCCGCCGGGGCGGGAGGTGGCGAGCGCGCCCCGAGGGGCAGTGCCCAGGGTACGAATGGGGACGCTTTACCCCTTGTCATTGCCCGCCGCGCTGCAGCCCGTAGCCTTCACCTGCGGCACCGCTGAGTGGGCTCTGGGGCCAGCATCCCAGCGGGGTTTCAGACTTCCAAAGAGTATTGCTCCTGCCTGAGAGGAAGCCCCTTTCCGGGGCGGGAGGTGGCGAGCGCGCCCCGAGGGGCAGTGCCCAGGGTACGAATGGGGACGCTTTACCCCTTGTCATTGCCCGCCGCGCTGCAGCCCGTAGCCTTCACCTGCGGCACCGCTGAGTGGGCTCTGGGGCCAGCATCCCAGCGGGGTTTCAGACTTCCAAAGAGTATTGCTCCTGCCTGAGAGGAAGCCCCTTTCCTCCCAGTTTTCCTCAAAAGAACATGGCGGGACAGCAAGCTGGGTGAAATCGGTGGTGTTTTCTTCACTTCCTTTGCAATGATGCTGAGGGGACAAAGATTAAATCTCTTGGCCCTCACTGAGACCCACAATCTAGTGCCTGGTGTGTGTCAACAGAGCAAACCCCCCAGACCCTTCTCACCTCCTTTACCTCCGCATGGCTCACCGCTGAGCTCACGCTTGAATGGTGGCCAGAAATTGGACACACAGCTGGTTCCTTCGGGCTGACAGGGTGGAAGAACATTCCTGCCCGTGCCAGTCACTCCCTCCCAAAGGCATGAGATAACCAGCCACCCATGGAGGCCAAAGCGGGGTGCAAGAGGTCACTGCTGTGCCACTTTCGCATGCTAGTGACCCACCAACGAGTCACAGGGCTGCCAGCTGTGAGCTGAGCGCGCACGGAGTGGCAGAAACCCAGTAAACAGAGATGGAGTGTTTCCCCACAGGTTTTTGCCTTCCTCTCATCCCAGAAGTGCTAAACCTCAGGATTGGGCTTGAAGAAAAAGCCAAAATATGGGCAGAGGTCAAGAATCCAGGCCTGAGTTTGCACAAAGTCAGAACAGCCTCTGAACATCAGTGGGACGGAGACACCAGGCTCCAGCTCCGGAACTGGTCACAGCTTATTTAAAGCATGTGCAATTAAAGCCCATAGCTTAAAAGCATTCAGCCTTTCTTGCCTTGCTGTGTGTTTCCACTACTGTAGTCCTGGCTTGGTTAGCTGAACCCTGAGCCTTTCTTCACTCATTTGTATCATATACACACATACACACACATGCAGAGGCTGTAATTACAGTGATAAAACACTCCTGTTCCCCCGCTCTTTTATCATTAGCTCTCCAAACAATTTGCAAAAAGAGATTGGTATCATTATCCCTGGATAGCAAATACAACCAGTTAAACACTCTCATTAGTGGCTCCCTGAGCCCAAAAACCATCCTCGAGGTGCAGGCAGGTGCGGGCTCTGCCTTTGCTCACGGCTGGGTGGGAGCGCACGCACGGGTCTCCCCGTGCAAGCAAATGCAGTGAGGCCAAGCGAGCCGGGGGAGCGACACCCAAGAGTCCCGCCTGTGGCAATTACTCAGCAAGATGAACTGCTGCTGGCCCAGCTCCATGCATAAATCCCAGTGCGGGGATTAACATCTGACTGTAATGGTAATAATAAAATCCAACGCATACACAGCATTTTTCATTCTGAAGGATCCCAAAGCACTTGAATAACTTAATTCCGTTAGCTGTCTCCTGGACTTTATAAACACGGTGCTTAATCATTCTGTGCCAGTCGAAGACGGCTTTGCTCTGGGCATGGTGAGGTCTCTTTGCAAAGGCCCCGGTGGGAGAGGAGAGGCTGTCCAGCATGGGCTGGAACAGGTGTCCTCTTTTGGAGGAAAATCCCTGGGAAACGGGGTTTGGCACTTTGCAGGGTCAGAAGGACCCTTAGCATCATTAAGGCTTCATTTGGCTTTCAGGGCTCCCTGTAACAGGTAAAGTTCCCTTCTCCAACCCCTTCCCATGCTCTTCTCTCTGGGATCAATGGCACAAGGACAAAAAACCTATTTATGCCTGGAGTTAAGGGCCTGAGTAGTTCTACCCATCCACACTCCCTCTTACTGCTCTTCATGGACAATGGTCCAGCTCACAAGCTAGTCCTTCATCAAAGGGTTCTTCACACATCACTGACAGACAAGTCTTACCAAAATACTTCCTTATAAAAAGAAAGGCATGATGCATAAAACGATTGCAAACTATTTGTTTTTACTTCTTTCCTTTTCTTGGTATCCTTTGGCCATCTAAATCAGACCTGAAACATTTCTGTGGAAAAAAACAAAGAATTTTTTTTTTCACCTTTGGAAATGAGACCACCTCTACTCTATTTACTCTGGAAGGTTCCACAAACAAAGAAATCACTAGTAACACTACAAAATCAGTGATAATCTTAGAAACGGGGCTATTCAACTGACTTGAGCTTCTTTATCTTCCTGTTTGTTTCAGGTAGAACTGATTTAGCCCAAATGCTGTGGCTGAAGATACAGAAGAAAATATTTCTGTTAAAAGCAATCCTTGTTCCCTGAGCTTTTGGCACAAAAGTCTCAAACACACACCTGAGATCACTGAACAGTCTTCAGTCCAATGCAGGATGTCAGGAAGCCCAAGGTTGAAAACCTAAAAGGGAGGAGAGAGAAGAAGGAGAAGGAAAAGCAGAAGGAGAAGGAGAAGACCCAACTCCCAGCCCATCTCTTGTGGGAGCTTCTGTTTTTTAAGTTTTCCTGGCTCTCTTTATGCTTGAGAGGTAATGCTGATGGGCTGCCGTGGTAAGTATGGGGAAGGCTTGTGTCTGACAAGACAAAAGCCTTAATTTTCACTTAAAGAAAAGGAAAAACAAAGCCAACTAATGACAGTGCACCAGTTCTTCACTAGAGATGTGTTTATTTTCCAATAGGAATACCATACCAGTGTATCTGAAGTGGCAAGTGGTTGGCAGTGCTCCATGCAACAGGCTCAAGGAGTGGAGCTGATGGACGCTCTGGTTGCACATGGTACGCTGAGGACAGGAGGACTCTGGAGGGCTGACAAAGGCTTGTGACTCCCCAAACGTGGGCAGTCCCGACTCTGAGCCCTGGGGGGTTGCGGACGCTGTGCACTGCTTTGGGTTGGCTGGGACTTGGCATGTGCTCTTGTGCAACAGAAGTCAGATACAAGAATCAGGTGGCTAGGTTCCCTTGGGGCAAAAATGTGACCATGAGGGTCAAATGAAAGGGATGCCCACACTGTGTTTCTCATTTTCTCCGTAGACCTGCTTAACTCTAACTTTCGTAAGTAGATCAGTAGTCCAGATGTTAATGGAGTCATTCACCAGCTCACAGATGTGTCTTCCCATCAGGACTGTCCTGTCTCCACAACCAGTTCACTGCTGGCTTCAACTCTCCAAATCTGCACAGGTCTGGTACCTACTGAACTCCATCATCCACAGCTATAGGCCATGAACCCAAACCAACCTCTTCTCTTGCTCAGCTGCCCAGGGGAGCCCTTCTTCAGGGGAACAATGCATAAGTATTTGAAGAAGATTGGCTCTGGGAGTCTCAGTCAGTAGCACTGGGCATCGTGAGAGGGATTCAGCGGGCAGCGGCTGCCCGCACTACTTACCCTGCATGAAGTTCAGATGTGCTCTTGCAGACAAAGAGCTGGTAGGAGAGAGAGAAGGCACCCCTTATACTT